TTAGCTGTAAAGCCTTCTCTGTCTAACTGCTAATAAATTATAGCCAACCCTGCAAGGAACCTTTATGAATTATAACACTATAACAGTACGTAATCATGGTGAGTGGGAAGGATGATGGACTAGTGGCAGCGGGAATCCTTGAATTTTTCTTGAATTCATAGGTTTGTTTAGCTGCTAACGGATTAAAAATGTTTGTGTATTGTATTTAGATTTTAAAGTGAACCCCACAGCCTAGGGAGCCCTTCAGCGCTTGAAAGGCAAGATAAGGTCTTAAAATAAGAATCATGAGTAAACTAGATATCAATTTAGATCCAATCACCTCAAGAAAGATCTCATTCCAACTGGTGTGGCACTTTTTTCTTTTGAACGCTTGAAGCTTCTGAGGGATAAATATTAGAAACCAGACGCCTATGTACGCCATATATCTCAGGGATGGGGTCATCTCGGATTAATATCTAACATATTCTTTAGATGATTGCCGCGCAGTGATGGTGCCATAATACAATTGGACAGGCTGTTAGGTCTTCATTGCCATTGGTTTTGAAATTAATTAGTGTAACTTTTTGCCATTGGTTAGTGTAACTTAGCCGACTTAATTGTATTGAAACTTTAGAGTTCAAAATAAGGATTTTGCGAATGGCTCGTTAGTATATCCAAATCACACCACATGTGAATGTACGCACTCATATTTAATATACCTTTGCATTTAGACACTTTCCAAATTAATTTTACTTTTGCCAAAAAAATTTAGATCCTCTTAATGAGCGTCCTCGTTAGCCAAAACCCTTAGAATAAACCAAATTCATGGGCATGTGGAATGCAAAATGTAACAAAGGACTTCTTCTTCTTCTTTTTTTTTTTCGTTCTCATCAATTTTTTTTTGCTGGAAAATTCAAGGGTTGGTGTGTAAATAGATGCCTTTATTCACTTATTTGTTATGGGAATTTTGAACCACAAAGCATATATGAATGGATTTGAGATCTACTTAGACTTGTCAAGAGTAATAATTAACGAATCCTACGTGCTAATTAAATCTAGCCTTATTTAGTATTATTCTCCATTATGTTGGCTCTTACCTTGTTTTTTTTTTTTTTTTTTTTTAACGTAACGGCACATCTAGTCTAGCCTAACCTACTCCTACTCCTAAAGGGAGAGGGAACCTACTCAACAGGGTGGCCCAACTGAGTTGGGGGAATCTGATAGGGACTGAACCACCATCAGACCAAATGGGTACACTACACAATACAATCATATGGATTTAAAACAACCTCATATTGAGTCACATTGATGGAAGATAAGATTTGAATCCTTGACCTTCCACCCTACAACATTGAGGCTCTTACCTTGTTGATACTACATGACTTTCACTGGCAAGTAGATTGATTCCAGTAGAAGCATTACACTGGAATGTGCGCTTAGACTTTTGCAGATGGTCATTAGAAGTGTTGTGGCATAATATAATAGGAACCGAACAATCTGTACAGGAGGACATGCGTTAAACTCCATCCATCCGAAAGAAGACAGTCGTTGCTTGCAGGAGGGCCAAAGACGCATGCAGCAGAATATCGACAAGTTGACAGTGATAATAAGCTAATGCATGTGAGCTTTTCCCCACGAGAGGTCCGACTTGACCACCTAAAACAGGCCGTCCAATTCTACTTTATAGTTTTTTAATTTTTTTTTCTACTAGGATATCTCAACTCGACAGAATCTTCCCACTATTGAGGATTGTCGTGACCTAAATGGTCCTAAATGGTTGATGGTTCTCTCCTCCTTCTAATATTCAAATTTAACCTCAGCATCAATCACCTTATATTTATATGGCTTCCACTGTGATAGTGTTTCAGCCATCCCTCTCCAAAACACTTAGCGCTCAATTCTACTCTGTCTTCCTCTTCTCTTGCTTCTCATCCTAGTTTTGTCTTTTTCCTTGGTCTCAGAACAACATTACAGCACGTACACTTGATTAATTGCGATTAACTAGTCACACTTCTTTAAGGCAATGAAGAATATTAAGTTTTTTGTTTTCTGTGCTTTTGTTATTGTCATGATGATCTTAAGCAGTGAAATGGTACGTGTGGATGGAAGACATTTGACGACTAAGCATCATTGCAAGAAACATTGTTCCAAGGACAAAGGAAACAAGAACTTCGACACAAATGCAAAAGGAGTTTCGGTCAGTGCAAATGGTGCTTATTCTTCTTCTTACGCGGAGACCAATGTGAGTAAGGCGGAGCATGCAGAAGATTTCCGACCGACCGCCCCAGGGCACAGCCCAGGTGTAGGTCATTCGGTTCATGGTTAGGACTATTTTTCTTTGGTGACTGTCTCTTCCGAGTTCCAGACTATGATTTGAACTAAGGCAGAGGATTGAAAGTGGCTGTACGTAAGCAAGCTGTATTTCTTCATTGTACATGTAATGTATTCATTGCTTATGATGTACAGCACAATTTCATGTTCCAATTGGTTGTTTTTTCTCTCCCAATCTTTACGGCCATCAGTGGTCATGACTTCATTGCATATAATAATTTTTCTTTCTAAATCCGTAACTTCCTTCTGATCAGTCTGAAAAACGATTCATTGCAATGCGGTTACACCACGCCAAATGTAAAGCAAAGATCTCTGAAACTTTTAGCGAAAAATATAAAGCTTAGATGGTTATAAATCATAGCAGCTAGCACTATTAAAATTGTTCTTAGAAACAAACTATGGTTGCAGCGGAAAACTGCATGGATGCACTCCATAAGTTTTCCCTATAAATCGAGGATAATAGCCAATAGATTTGCGACTCTGCTAACTGCTAACTATAGGCAAACCTTGTGAAACTTTGAAAATTTTTTTTTTAAAAAAAAAAAAACTATGATATCGAAGCAACTATTTGTCTACTTTACATTTACGAGGAAAAAAACAATAACTATTTGCAAAAAAATGTATTTTGATATTTGATAATTTGTTTTTGGGTAAATTGCTCACAATCCTCTTGTAATATTTGCATATTACCACCAAATGGTTTTAAAATATCCACATCACTTCCTATAATTCTACATAAAATGGAAAATAGACAGAAAGTATCTCTAGTTATGACAATTAATCCAGACTTACTCCAAAAATGTGTGTGGTGAAAATACAATATTCGCTTAACCAACATATGATTTTCAATAAATATTCACTTAAACGCCCTATATTTTTGTATATATCCATATGATCCAACTATTGTTTTCTATAAAAATGCATGGTTAGACACTCATTTGGTTTAGTACTTGAACAAGAGTAGGACATGCTGCTGCGGCTGCCATGCCATGCGAAGGGGCCGGCAGAACACAAGGCATACAAGGTGTACGTAGCCAGGGCAGCCTTTGGAGCCCAACTCAAAAAATTAAAAGTTGCAGGAATAGTTGTAAACTGGCAAGTATCATCTACTCTAGAACACATGTATCCTAAGAAAAGAAATTAAAAACTGTATGTTTGTTTAATCATCAATGTCTTATTTACACACGAATGTGGACCATAACTTCACTTCAAACTTTAAAGCACTATAAGTTGTCAAACCAGTTATTGATTCTCTCCCCATCAATGATTCCAAATTCCAGCAGCATAAAACTATGATACCGCAGTAAAGTGGTCCAAATCTTGACAGTAAATGGAGGATAATTAATCAAGGAAAGGAGGTCAAAAGGAGACGACAAGAGCAAAGCCGCTACCATGAAAACAATTTCCTAAGCATAAAGGTGGAATCTTATAGTTGTGATGCTTGGTCAAAACTAGGCTATTGCAAGATCAGAAAGTGCAGAAAAGTCATTTGGATTCGCATGACTCATAATTTACAGATTTGTGGTAGTTAAGTTAGTTTTTGAGCAATGGGAGATCGGATTTCAACCCCACTTTGATTCTCTGTTGCTTTTCTAAACAGTGACCTGCTAATTTAATTTTTTGCATGTAGGCCCTCTTAAAGTGAATTTGTAGCTTTCTCCAAATGCTTTTACTTTTCCTTCAAAAAAAAAAATTTGCTACTACTTTTGCTGGTTACTTTTTGTCCCAATTGGAGACAGAGACCTGTGGTTCACTTATAAAATTTGCAAGTTGAAGCATGCGCCAGGAGTTTAGACGCTAAGGAAGTCTTGTGGCTTTCCCGTCGCAGTTGGCCGATCAGCCTAAATGATTTTACAGAATTTCTCAGGTAAACAATTTATTTGTGTCCTTTCAAAAAGAAAACAGCCTGTTGTTTAGGCGAAAGCCCTCCAGCGGTGGATCACTATATACTTTATTATCTGCGTGAAAAATTCAAGAAACCTTCCAAAAAGGTTTCACGTGATGTTTAGTCTTAAATTTCCAGTTTTGTTCGGTCCAGAGTAAAAGCGTCTTATGCTTGAGTACCATATATGAAAGGACAAAATTGAGGGTGAAAACAGTTATGCTTCTAATTGTAAGCATAAGGGCCAAAAATTCAACCTCCATATTTTCTTTTACTCCATTTTCCTTAGTGATTTATTACAAATGACCTAATTAATCATTGATATTTCGTTTCTGCGAAAAACAAAATAGCTTTAGTTTGTGAATTTCTCTAGGTTTAGTATGACAACGGCTCCGTTTGGATTCCTCATTTTTTGAAAAACAAGTTTTTTATATAGAATACTACAATAATACACAAACAAAAATAACTTCAAAAGCACCATGTCCGTACAATATATCAAAAACAACTCCAAATATACAAAAAAAAAAAAATAGAATTTACTTTATTTTCTTCTTTTATCTATCACCATCACCTACCACCACCCCTCCTACTAGAGCTGTTAATCGAATCGGGCAGCTCGCGAGCCGAGCTCGACCCGGCTCGATAAGGGCTCGGCTCGGCTCGTTAACAGAGAGAAACGAGCCGAGCTCGAGCTCTAATAAGTACTCGTTTAATAAACGAGCCGAGCAAGCTCGGCTCGTGTAAGCTCGGTAGGCTCGAACGTTAGGGGCATTTTCATCATTTCAGCGTGTAAACTCTCTAAGTCATCTCCCGTTTGCTGTAGCCCTAATTCCTCCTTTCCTCTTTTGGTATTTCATTTTCCCGTCCCACAGCCACAGCCCACAGCCGTCACCCCGCAGCCACACCTCAATCCCCGCAGCCTCCATTCTCACCGCCAGGCGCCATCCTCCATTCTTACCGCAGCCTCCATTCTCACCCCACCCCGCAGCCTTCATTCTCACCGCCTGCCTCCATTCTCCTAATTTTTTCTTTTCCCCTTTCTGTCAACTCTTTTCCCGTTCCACACCTGCAGCCGCAGCTGCACCTTCCTGACAAAAGCAGCCGACTGAATCAAGCGACTAAATTCCTTCCTTGGCCAGTAGCTCGCCTGATTCTTGCCACCGTCACTGACTCACCATACGGAGCAGCCATACGGAGCCACCTCGGTAGAGCCAGGGGCCTCTACCATACCCCGATTCACTGCATTCTGGTAAGTAGTGACCCCGATTCTTTTTTTCTTTTTTTTTCCTTTTCTTTCTTTGTTTTTTGGTTGAAGAATTTAAATTTCAATCAATTTAACAAGCACACATATATCGAACAGATTAGAGTATGCTTGATCAGACATTTGGGTTGATGTTTTCTTTCCAAAAGTTAATTTTATCTGCTTTCTGTTATTAAGGAAATTGTCTACTACTACTACTTACTTATGATACTCATCATTTGTTTGTTGCCATTGAATTGGAATACGGGATTTTGATATGAATATTTTCGATTTTGCTTTATATTCACAGCCCCATTTTGCTTCTAACCCAATCACAGCCAATTTTAGATGCAATGTTACCAGTAACATATCATATCATTTATACTCCTAGCGTTTGCTTGCAGGGAAAAAATGTGGAAAAGTTTAGGAAAGTTAGCTCCTTTTTTTTTGTTTCCTTTCTTTCGTGCAAGTTTGGTTTGTAGGAATGTTGAAAATTTTTCCTGCACCTTCTTGTATTTTGTGTCTTGCAAAATTTGTAGTATTTTGAAAAAAAAAATAATTGATTACTCATAGAAATTTCAATAATCACTGCTAACTGTCATTAACTTCCTATTATATATTTTCTCTCAATATTTTTCTTTACCTCACTTTCCTCCATTTCACTTTCCCATACAATTTTCCTTCCGGATCTTCAAATGGTTGATGTGTCCTGGCATGATGAAGAAAAGGGCAATCCTTGATACTAATTCTCATATCCACTCTATACTTATTCATTTATTTATTTTGTATCGAGCCAGATTCCCTGTTGTCACCCAAGGTGTCTCGTGGGACCCATTTGAACCCCAACCATACTATTTACTCTTTTTTTTAAAAAGTTTTTCCTTCAATAGTATTATTTACGTTGATATGTATATACTAGAGCCGCCCGTTAACTCTAATTGAATGAAGACATGTGGACTTTCATATATTTTTTGTTTTGTAGGAATCACTTGATGCGGCCGAATCAATCACATTTGAGGAAGTTGAACTTCCTGAATCATTCACGAGCTGATTTGGTGGCTGTTGATGTTGCTTGGTGGCTTCTGATATGTTTGGTGGCTGTTTATGTAAACTTTTGATGTTGTAATCTGATATTTGGTTTGGACATGTTATCTGATATGTTTAGGGGCTGTTTATGTAAACTTTTCATGTTGTAATCTGATATTTGGTTTGGATATGTTATTTGATATGTTTTGGACATGTTGTAATCTGATTTGGTTTGGATATTGTAATCCGAGTTTTTATATTCGACTTGGCTTGCAATATTTGGCTTCAATTCGAGCTTGTGGAATTGAAGATGATATATTAGGGAATGTGCTCTTCTTTTGTCCAGCTAAATATGAGTTTGCCAGGAACTGATATGCTCTCACCCGTAAACGAGCTCGAGCTCGAGTTTCGAGCTCGCAAAGCTCGGCTCGAGTTCGTCTCGAGTTCGAGCTTAAGCTCGAGCTCTCTACCAGCATATCGAGTCGAGCTCGAGCGTCTTGTGAAGCTCGAATTAGTAATCGGGCGAGTTCGAGTTAGCTCGATTAGAGGTTCGAGTCGAGCTCGATTGTCATATGCTCGAGCTCGACTCGGCTCGTTTAACAGCTCTACCTCCTACCCACTATCGCCACCATCCCCTTTTTTCTCCTCCTTCCTCCTCATCTTTCCTTTTCTTTCCTCTCCCTCCCTCTTCCTCCTCCTCCTCCTCCTCTCTTCCCCTTCCTCTCCTCTTTCTCGCCATACCCCACCCCTCCCCTTCCCCCAACAAATTTGGCCTCAACCAAAGGTTGCAATCTAGCAGTTATGTCGTGACCAGAGATCTCGATTTGGTCTCGGCTATATTGGAGAGGGGAAGGGGAGGGAGGAGAAGGGACAGGGTAGTAGCGGTGGTAATTTTAAAAAATACCATAAAAATTTTTAAATTTTAAAAATACCTTAAAATATATTCCAATAATATCGCAAAAAACACTGATCCGTTTCAATGGGCTAGTAGTGTTTTGTCATTCTGGGCCACAGGACCAAAATCCATTGTAACAGAATCTGGATAAAAGTGGCCCATCTAAGACTTATGAGCATGCTAGAGCCCAACAGAGTGAGCATGATCCATTTCTGTTGGTATATGCTAGCAGAAGCCACCCATGATCAAACCTGACGCCTGTTACTTTCTTTTCCGTTTCAATGAACTCTTTTACCTACTATTTTTTTTTTTTTTTGGAGTATTTTAACTTGGCGTCTACATCAAGTACACTGCCATAACGTGTATTAATCGTTGACCAGCTGCTGGATTGCATTACGTAAAATATCCAAAAAAAAAAAAAAATTCAGTTTAAAAAACCGGACAACTGACTAGCTGTAAATTTTACTAGACTACAATTTTATTTTTTTTTTTTTCAAATTTCAGTGGACTACAAATCTCTCAGTAATTTGTTTCTCTCCATTTGAAAAAGTTTTTCGATGAATAGCGCTGATCACCATCTGGAATTTCAATATATAATGCTTTGGTATTTCTGGGCATGGTCCTGATTTTGCCAGCTACTACTTCTCAACTTCCGGCGTTTCCTTCTTTGCGGTGTTTTGTTTTGGCCAGCTGTCGCTTCAACCTTCCCAGCAACACAAAAGTGGCGGCAGGGCAATTTTAATTAGTCTGTCCAAATAAGATACGGAGCCGCTAGGCCACCCTCTTCCGTCGCTGTTCATTTTATTTGTGAAAGTGATGCGTGTATTATTAGTATTAATCAGAGAGTTACTTATTTGATACTGCCATTTCCCTCCGAGATCTGTCATTTTTGCTTTTTTTTGTTTTTGTTTTGAAGGAATTAGATGCAACTTTCTTTTTATCCAACTTTCAATCCCCATTTGGTTTGTAATTCAATTTAAAAAGTTGTAACAAACAGTTAATGAACCAATAATGCATCATTCTGCTTGAATGATGTTGATTCTCGTCCAATAGTCCTAAGGACACCGATCAGACAAGAATCCTTGAGAATCTGAAACCAAAATACACTGCTGCATGTCCGGTCGATTGAGAAAGAAAGATGCGCCTTTTCTTTTCTGTGATAACTACTCTAGCGTGTTACTTTTTTTTTTTGGTTGAAGAATCTCTTCTTCGGCCCATCTATGTAACCGGTGGGCTTACACGTCACTTCTTCCTCCGTCTCAATTATTTTGTCATGTTTTAAGAATAAAAATATAGTTCGATTGTGATATTTGTGCTTCTCTTTTCAGTCTTACTCTCACGCCATAAATTGCGAATTTGAATTTGAACGGTAACGCACGTACGCTTAAAAGTGAAGGATTATATTAGAAGAAGAGACTGAAAAGTGTTTTGACATTCTCGACGTGACAAATATTTCAAAACATTCCAAAATATAACATTCTGAATACTTATTGGTCATTAAGCAGACGCGTGTGTGACCTAGTCTTGGAGGGTTCACTTATTTATTAGAAGAAGCAAGTGAAAGCAACCTGGGCGCAAATGCTCCTCATTAATACTATTGTGTAAGTACTAATTATAGAATTGGCATCAGTTATCCCGAAATTAAGAAGGAAAGTCAACTAACTGCAGCGGCAGTTAATACTTAATACGTACTCCATTAAAAAGACCATGAGATGATAGAGATGTTTTTTACTTGTTACTAATAACAGTTCTTCCCTCTAATTAATCCCCAGCCACCGAAAGCTTTTTGTTGTTTAATTGTTCTTCTTTCTGTCAGAGCTTAAATCCAATTGGAATTGCACGGCGCTCAGAAACTGTGAGCCAAAATGGAGGAATGGGTTTGTTGGTGGCAAAAGAGAGGACTGGATCCACTTTGATTCTTGGTGGTGGGCAGGTATCTGGATCTTTCTTTTCCGCTCGACACAAATATATGTTTGTCCCTATTCGTTGCCGTGGGAGCCACCCGTACCCACTTGCTGCGCCGTCCATGATCAACCACAAACCGCCGTCCATGGGGGGGAATGTTTTGCACAGTACTTAATTACATTAAAATATAGGAGAGAGGAGGTCAATCTTTTCTGGCCCCCTATTATCATTAATTAATGTAGGAAGCTATAAAATTGACCTCCTCCTCGCTCTAATTAGGTGATGAGAAGTGGTTGAGTTAATCTTTTGCTCAAATGCTAGGAGGCACAATTTGAACAATAATAATGAAAATGGAGCATTACCACGTGCAAAACAACAAAGCTTTCCGTCATCTAAATCAGAGCTGTGTATGGACCAGAAAACAACAAAGCTTTCCCGGCCGTCGTCCGAAGAAAGTTAGAAAGAAAGAAACGGACATAACGGTGCTGTGACGTCGCAACCAACTGGGGGGTGGCGGTATGGTCCACGCAGCCTGGGACGCTGACTGACCGGCCGCCATTGTTTTCATATTATATTTACCGTACTTGTTTACAACTAGCTGGTAGTACTGCCTGCTATTTTGTTTTCTGTCGTTGCCGTCACCGGCTGGCCCTCCTGATTATATTTCCGGGTGGTGGCTGCTTCTTCTTTCTTTTGGATAAAAAAAAAGAAATTTGGATGGATTCGATTCCAATCACAGAAAATATTAGGTTATTTAATTTGATAAGGATTTTAAATAAAAAAAAATAGCACGTTGTTTAATTAGATAAGAAATTTGAACGTAATTAACAAGCAATGATAGATTTGATAGATAAAATAAGGTAGTTGAAGTAAATCTGTTGATTCCTATCAGAATTAAGCATTCGATTATTGTGTTGAAAAAAAAATACATGCAAGTTCAGCAAATAGATTTTTATTTATCAAACACCCATAACATATGAATGTTTGAAAAAAGTTTATTTTCAACACTTTTTTATGTCATTAAACAGGTTATAACTCAACTCGTGTTGATGCAAGATGGCTGAACCTTTTTAATTAATTTTATTACATGAACTACATTTTAAATTGAAAGTACTTTGATAGTCTTGGTTTTTTCACACGATTTAAGGAAAATTGGTTAATTTGATTGAAAAAGTAAATATAATCTAACGCTTTTATGTTATATCTTTATATTAATTACAATGACAATACTTATGAAATGTTGCACCATTCGAGACACGAATCAAAGTAATTATTGAATAAACTAGGTTATATTCATTGACAATAATAAAATGTATATTAAATAAATATATTTTAAAGAAGCTGAAAGTTAGTTATATTTTTTAATTAAAAAAGTTAGACTACAATTTGACATGATTAAAAAAAAGAAAATAAAAGATATTAAAGTGGGAAGGAGGGGTACAACTTGTAACAGATGCAATTTGTGAAAGGAGACTCACGGCACTTGACCATTTGTTGAATTGGCATTACCGAACGTACCATTCGGTTCGGCGGACTATAAGACTTGACCGGCGGACCGCTGCAGTGGCAGCGGACACGTAACCGTTGCGGTCCATTCTGTTGTACTGCACCCATTTAAGCAGTGTATGTACTATATAGTAGAGTTGGTTGCGTAATTTGCAGTACATTTTCCATTAAACACGACATTTTTTTTTTTTTTTTTGGGGATGGTTGTGAAATATCTGACAACTGCCGAGGGGCACTGCTGAAAGGGAACTGGGATCTTAAATTTTTGAATAAGTGAAATTAAATTAACACAATATTTAAATTCAAAATTATACTATAATAATGTTTAATACCCATTAAAACATCTGTTGAGAAAAATCCTTGCAGAAATGGTTTTTAATTGGCAACTCGCCGCACGGACGGAGGAATCTTTTCCACATCGAGGAGTTTCGTTGAAGACAACCTCCTTTTACCATGACACCTGATTCTTTCCGCTAGATTTCACTCTTTTTCCAAGACTGAAAATGAGGAGAATTTTCAAGTTCAGGCAATTACGCCAGCAAGCTGGGGTCTAAAGGAGGTTGACTTCGTGAGCATTTTCATTTTTGGAACAACAAATAATATATAACTTTCCCGAAAGTCTCCAGTGCTGTATATATATATGCTGCTATTTTGTCATTGATGATAACATATTCTCGCTGTACTTTCAGTCAGGTCTCATATCAAAGGACGCGGGGCTGGAGCGGTTGTTCTGACAACCGCTCCGGAAGGTGTAACACCATTTGTACATGGTGTAACATCATCTGTACAAGGTGTAACAATTGAACAACAGCGAGTAAAATAAAATAACATTTTTATGGGTTTCACACGACGTGAAAATCGAGTTACAAGACGTGATCTGAGCCGCACAAATTTTTGAGGCTTCATCCAAGCCGTGAACTGCCTGGGACGGTTGTTTCTGGCAACCGTCCAGGCCCCTCGTCCCATATCAAACGTCTTGTGTGGGCTCAAAGTCGCAACACCAGAAGCGGCTCGTTTTCCATAACAATTATTAATTATTTTTAGCGTTACATCACTCTTTGTTTTGGACAATTTCAAACACGACATGTCGGCTCTGTTTGGCTTTTTAGGATTGTCCAAGATGATGATGATAGATACCGGCCATTTTCTAGTCCTGCATCAGCCTTAGGAAAGATTTTTTTTTTCTTTAAAAAAAAAAAGGCATTATGGGGTTTGGAATTTGAAGCGGCTAAACTCATGCGGGTTTAAAATCTCCCATCCTACTTTGATCTCTACTAAAGTTTTAGAGAAAAATGTAAAATTTTGGCACTCAAAGTTTGACATATAAGCGCTTTTAGTCTTCAAATTTTGGATAAAAGCAAATTTTAAGACACCAATCTTTCAACTTTTGAGCACATCTAATGGATTTTTTTCCCAAATTACTATAAAAAAGAGGCACGTAATAATCACATATCCGACCGTTATTATATAATAAAATGTCAAAAAACGTAAAATTTAGTCATTAAACTTACTATTTAGTGTCTGAATAATATTTTATATTTTTTTGACATTCTTAATACAATAGTTGTTGGATATGTGATTATCACGCGATTCTTTATGATAGCAATTTGGAAAAAAACCAACAAGGGTTTTCCATTACATATACTCAAAAGTTGAAAGATGGAGATTAGATTTGCTTTTGTCGAGAATTTATGGACTAAAATCGCTCTCACGTGTCAAATCTTAGATACCAAAACTATAAAAATATATAATGGGATGTAACTCAAATTAATTAACCTTTATATCCTCCAGAGATTTTTTTCTTACACGATAAACCACACCTTGTGAATCAATTACCGTTGAGGACGTTTGATAAATTTGCCTTTTTACAACAATGGTGGACAAAAATATTCATGTAATTCTGGGTTGATATGTGAGTATGCACGTCTGAACTATTGCAATCTACAAATTGCCCCAAAACTATCAACATATGTTAGCAATTTCACATCTCATACATTAATTTGTGGCAAAGTGTTGATATAATTGTAATGCCGTTGAGTTTTTTCTAAATGTTTTGGGGTGCTAAAACTTTTTCATTCAAATATTTATGTCATTATCCATTCATTTTAAATTATTTAAACAATGTGCTATATATTGATAATGTACGATACTTAACAGCAAAAATTGATAGTTTGTGGAGAAAACCACAAAGCATTTTTTGTAGTGGATGGGTGGATATCGCCATTTACCCTCGCTACGAGTTTCAATAACTTTTTGGTATTTTATCAAAACATTTGGCCCAAAAAGGGGGAAAGAAAAGAACTAATTCATTAATCTAAATAAATCCAATAACACAATATTTAATTTTTAAATTATATTTGTTGTCAAATTGGAAAAGGCAAAAAAAAAAAAAGAAAAAAGAAACAAAGCACGAGCTTTGCGATGCTGTAAACGTGTGGAATCAAAATTCATCATAAACATCGAGTCGAGTTTATGTGGCCATACGGACGCCGTCGGAATCTATTATCTAAAGTGGAAATGGAAAGCCAAAACAGAAAATACAGACGCCAGTTCATTGGCCACGCATTTATGATTAATAAATAAATAAATTGTTCGTGCAGATTTCTCTCACGCTGTTTTTTTTTCTTTTTCCGGGCATCAACAAACAAACAAAATTTATCACCAAAAGAAATTTAGATGCCCCTTTTACCCCTCAAAAGAAAAAGAGGACAAGGGTGCTGGGGCGCCTAGGTCCCTCGAGCCTCGAGCCTAGACGGTGCGATCCGGTGCAGGGCTCGAACCACTACGCGCCCATCGATGCCCCCCCATTTCGAACCTCCGTACACAGCTGTCAATTATTCTCCGTCCATCCAAGGACAAAACAGACATTACACTTCCTACCCCAGCTTTTATACCAGCTCCGTTTTTCTGACAAACGTTTAGTTTATTTTAACCCATGCTTTGTACTAAAGAGTCTCCGACTGTCCTCGTCACTGGCGAAAAATTTAAATTAAACCTCGCCACCCCTTCTTAAATTATTTCGCCAAAAAACGGTAAACCAAAGGAGTGGTACATAATGAACTGAAGTAGTACAACCCAAAGCCAAAAGTCTTCCAACTTCCCTTCAACACCTATCCAACTCTTTCTTGGGGATTACCGTTTTATCCACAAACGTTGCCTTACTGATCACGATGAATCATTTTAATTGCTTGTTGCCCAAAGAACGATCATCCGAAACTACGTCGTTCTTTGGCAGGGTACTTCCGTAAACTGACGTGAGGGGGTCGTTTTCTGACCTTTTTCCTTTTCAATTTTTTTTTCTTCGTCCTCCGAGGCCATTCATTCGCTGTTTATCACGGAGTGGGTTTGTGCTTGTGTATGTAATGTGTGTGTGTGTGTGTGTTTTTTTTAATAAGTTCTTTCGTGAATTTTTAGGCTCATCTTTAAAACTAAACTAAACGAGAAAGTCTTTCTATTTCAAACATCGGAAAAACGAAGAAAATATTTGTTTTTCCCAGAAATGGTCTGAATATGAAGCTTCAAACCCTACAGATGATCAAGACTCCGCCACCACCACGACCACCATCGCTTCAGCTGGCCATACCGGGCAACATGGCCTACCATCGGTAGCTCCATCACTCTCCCTCCCGCCACCCTTACTTTTCTTCCCTTTTTCTTTTTGATAATATGTTTGCCTTCTCATACATTTTTGTTATCTCATCATCTTCTGTGTTTTACTTTTTCAGTTTTCACTTCACTCCCGATCATCAAGAAGGTTTTTGTTTTCTTTGCTTAAGCTTCTTCTGCTTCTTTTTAAATGCTTAACTGTGTTCGAAGGATTTTTTTCTGAAAATTTTCTAAGGTGTCTGGTTGTAGGCTGAGACTTGGGAGTGGGTTTCATGAGGAAGAATCTGTTGGATTTATTTCTTAGGGGATGGTGATTTTCCTTTTTTCCTTTTTAAACGGGGCCGGTGGGGTTCTGGTTATGGTAAAACCTTGTTTGGAACTTTTAATGTTTGTTGATGAAGCTGAGTGAGTTAATTGTTTCAAGTTAAAAATTGTCTGTTTGTGGGTGATTAACTTGATGGCTTCCACATTTATAGCAAGTTTTAGTTATGTTCTTTCACCATGCTCTTACCATTTTTTTCTCAATCTTTTTAATTATTTTTCTTTTTTATGCGTGGTATTAATGTTTGCCATAAAGAGATTGTATTTGGTTTTTTATCTGTATTTGTCCTTGTCTATTATTATCTGATAAAGCGCCTATGTACACTTGTTCATATCTTCTGCGGATGCTGCAAATTTTTTTTTGTTACCTTTTCTATTCTTTGTTTGATTATTCTTTAAAATCTTTGCTTCTTTCTTGTTTAATCTTATTGTGATTTATCATATTTCGAAATTGCTTTCATCTCCCTGGCCACATCTCTGTGTTTTCCTTTACCCCGTGTTTTGTTTGTGAGGGCAGTTGGCCATTAGCTGTGAGAGCTATTTGCGTCATACGTGTCCACAACATGATTTTCAGCTTGTATGATGGGTGTTAGTTTTTCATTGGTGATAATTATCTGGGTTGTTGCCAGAGTTTGAAATAATGGAAGGTATTAACTCATCTTTGTATGCAACAGGAGAATATGGCACTATGGCGGAGTATTTAAATTAATGGTGGCTTTTCTATTTTGCCTTGGTATTGTGGCTACGTGTGAACCATGTTCGGTGTCTGGGGTGCAGCATCAAGTGGAAAATGAAGCATGTAGGTTGTGCAGAGATGGTGGTGAGTCAGATTATCAAGGTGTATTTACTGGTGATGTTGGTTCAGGGTTTGCATTAGATAAGCTAGAGCCCCATGCAAGTCTTGATTATGTATGTGGGAATTCAAATTTGTTCTGCTTTTGGTCAACATTGCCTGGATTATCACGCCCAGGGCATGTTGTTCAATCTACATCAGCTGAAGTTTCTGGGGTTCAATCGGATGTTAAATTACATGAAATGCCAAATCATGCGAGGACTAATATTAGTTGGTCATCAAGTTGTGGTATTATTAAGTTCTCTAGTGGTAGGACTATTTCTTGCTCTCTGAACCAGCAATATGGTTGTAAGGAACTGCCCAGTCGTCCTCTAGATAGTAGTGAGGGAAACGATGTTTTGTCCTGTAGAGGATCGTTTCTTGACCATAAAAGTCAGTTTTTTGACTCAAAAGAGGATGCAAGGATGAGTGACAGTTCTTCACCCCACGTAGAAATAAGCCCTCCCCTTTTGGACTGGGGAGAAAGGAACTTATATTTCCCCTCTTTAGCATTTTTAACAGTCACAAATGCACACAGTGACAATATTTTGACCATTTATGAACCTTATAGTACCAACTCTCAGTTTTATCCGTGCAATTTTAGTGTTGGTTACGTAGACCCAAAAATTCTCAAAAAGGGTTTATTTACTTTTTTTTATTATTCAAAAACAAAAATCATTTTTGGGTGACTTGGTACACCCTAACTCTATACCAAGTGGCGACTCCATTTTTGATACAAAAAACCCTTTTGAACTTCACTTGGCCAAATCGTCGCATTCTAAGTCCCATGGCCTTTTACTTTTCACTTTGCACACGTTCACACATTACACACCACACATCACACATCAACATCACATCAAAAAGTGGGGCGCGACAAGTCCTTCACTAAATCTTGATAGATTTCTTTCAATTTTTGAAATCTACTCCGATTAACTTCATATCGAAGGTGATTGCAAGTTAAGGGTGGAGAGTTTTGAGAGGACTAGGATTTGCTTTGCTTGATTTCAAGGTGTTGGAAGGTATAACTCTTAGAAACCCCTTTGTATTCTTGAATCTTGTGATTAAGTTGTTGGATAAGTTGATCTTGATTAATTTTATGGAGTTTCTTGTGATTTGGAAGTTGGGATGATCAAGTTCTATATTAGTGATATTTCTAGATTTTATCTAAGTTATTTCATCCTTGATTTTGGCATGTATATGATTAGTAGAAACTATTCTAGTGTTAAGGTGCAATTTCTAACCTTAATTGATATTAGTGATGGTTATATGCAAAGATTAGTTTAAAAGAGCGATTTCAGTTTTTATCTTGTTTCTAGATTCAATTTGGACTGCAAATTTCTCCATGTTCTAGGCCGAACCAGCTTTTGGACAAAACATGAATGTTGTAGATATATGCGTTGGATATCTACCTGCAAATTTTCAGATCGATTGGAGTACTGTGGCCCTTTAAACCCTGTTACGCGCACAGTTTCCATTTTTCTGTAAGATATCGATTTTTGTTCATGAAAATGTATGATTTGGCTTTGGAGGTTTTCATAAGAAATGTTGGTATATGTCTTAGCTTCGTAACGCCATAAGATTCGTTTCAACCCGATAAGTATGACTTCAATTGTGATTAAAATCCCAAAAGGTGATAGGAAGTTGATGATTTTAGATTTCCCTTTTACTTGACATGATATTTGTGATCTAGGGCTTGGACTTGAGCAAGACAATGATTTATGATGGATGAGATTCATGAGTTGTGGTTGGTGAGTGATTCCACAACTATTTTCAAAGTTACTTTTCGAACTAATTCTTGCATTGGTTACTCGATTGCATATCATTTGTGTTTGTGCGTGTGCCATGACATGATTTGGCTCTATTGAGTTCTTGGAAAATCTTGTGCTTAGAACCAACGTCTCTTCATTGTTTATTTGGAGCACCGATGGTTTTGATAAATTAGGGTGGTGGCCGGAATTGTTGAGAAAACTTTTGATTTTGCATCCTTTTTTTAGTCTTCTTGATTGATTAAGGTTTGCACCATCCGATTTGTACGTGTTTGGATTTGAAATCTTTGAACTGCCTGAGACCAACTAGCATGAGTTTATTTGAAACTAGAACTTGTTTAGGCGAGTGTGCTCCTGCGTACACTTAATGGACTTGACTGAATATATGGTATCTCTTTTCCGCATGACCAAGTAACTTGATTCGTATATGATCAGTATGTGGATTTGAATTCGGTGACTATTTGAGAATGTGAATTGCTGGGCATAGGCTAATCGAGTGAGTTCTTATTCGTACCTGTGCTCCTTGAACTTGAAGTAATTGATCCTGATTTTAAACTTGTTTCTTTTTTGTTTGACTGTAGACCGGCAACTGCTCCTCTGTAGCGGTTGAACTGAACCTCTCCGGTGGGGCATTGCCTGTTGTATTATAAAGAACCGCCATTCTTCTGGCGAGACATGCCTGTTGCGCTGTCCAGTACCACCAGGGATGAACTTCTTGAACTGAACCTCTCAGGTGAGGCATTGCCTGTTGTGTTATCAAGCACCGCCATTCTTCTGGCGAGGTATGCCTGTTGTGTTGTCCAGCACCGTCAGGGATGAACTTCTTGAATTGAGCCTCTCTGGTGGGGCATTGCCTGTTGTGTTATAAAGCACCGCCATTCTTCTGGCGGGGCATGCTTGTTGTGTTGTCCAGCACCGCCAGGTATGATTTTCCTGAACTAAGGTTCTCTGGTGAAGTATAGCCGTCGTACTAGCTTGTTGTGTTGTCCAGCACCGCCAGGGACAACTTCCTGAACTGAGATTCTTTGGTGAAATATAGCTGTCGTGCTAGCTTGTTGTGTTGTCCAGCTCCGCCAGGGGTAAAAAATTCTGACTTGAGACTTAGCCATGTCCTGAATTTTTCGAATATCTGGGAATTTATTTCCAACTCAGGGCTAGTTGGTTGAATCGAGCCCTTTTGCATGTTCTTTTTGGTTACTTGTTTAGCTATCAATTGGCTCATTACTAAGTGATATATGGGATTGGAATGATTCGTAGTACTTGACTGACTTTCGAGAACTATCCTGATCTGATTAGTACAAGTTGAAATGTCGAGAACGACATTCTTTCAAGGGAGGAGTTTGTGACACCCGAAAGAAGAAGAAAAGGAAAAATTCTGGTGAACAGTTTTCTTAGCAAATCCGGCCGCATATCCGGCCAGTTCTTGGCTGGATACTTGGCCGGATTGGCTTGCTCGTTTGAAAAAAAAATTGACCTGGCTACTGCCTTGAATCCGGCCTCCTATCCGGTCGCATATCCCGCCAGATTCTGTTCTGTCGTACAGCATTCCTTAATGGTTAAGTCTTCAGTTTGTGACTTCATTTGTTGTTCAAAGACCAACTTTTCTTTATCTTCAAACTGACCGACCTTCTTGGGAGCAAAAATAAAAAAAGGAACTCCATTCTTTTCCTTTGATTCCTTCACTAAATCTTGATAGATTTCTTTCAATTTTTGAAATCTACTCCGATTAACTTCATATCGAAGGTGATTGCAAGTTAAGGGTGGAGAGTTTTGAGAGGACTAGGATTTGCTTTGCTTGATTTCAAGGTGTTGGAAGGTATAACTCTTAGAAACCCCTTTGTATTCTTGAATCTTGTGATTAAGTTGTTGGATAAGTTGATCTTGATTAATTTTATGGAGTTTCTTGTGATTTGGAAGTTGGGATGATCAAGTTCTATATTAGTGATATTTCTAGATTTTATCTAAGTTATTTCATCCTTGATTTTGGCATGTATATGATTAGTAGAAACTATTCTAGTGTTAAGGTGCAATTTCTAACCTTAATTGATATTAGTGATGGTTATATGCAAAGATTAGTTTAAAAGAGCGATTTCAGTTTTTATCTTGTTTCTAGATTCAATTTGGACTGCAAATTTCTCCATGTTCTAGGCCGAACCAGCTTTTGGACAAAACATGAATGTTGTAGATATATGCGTTGGATATCTACCTGCAAATTTTCAGATCGATTGGAGTACTGTGGCCCTTTAAACCCTGTTACGCGCACAGTTTCCATTTTTCTGTAAGATATCGATTTTTGTTCATGAAAATGTATGATTTGGCTTTGGAGGTTTTCATAAGAAATGTTGGTATATGTCTTAGCTTCGTAACGCCATAAGATTCGTTTCAACCCGATAAGTATGACTTCAATTGTGATTAAAATCCCAAAAGGTGATAGGAAGTTGATGATTTTAGATTTCCCTTTTACTTGACATGATATTTGTGATCTAGGGCTTGGACTTGAGCAAGACAATGATTTATGATGGATGAGATTCATGAGTTGTGGTTGGTGAGTGATTCCACAACTATTTTCAAAGTTACTTTTCGAACTAATTCTTGCATTGGTTACTCGATTGCATATCATTTGTGTTTGTGCGTGTGCCATGACATGATTTGGCTCTATTGAGTTCTTGGAAAATCTTGTGCTTAGAACCAACGTCTCTTCATTGTTTATTTGGAGCACCGATGGTTTTGATAAATTAGGGTGGTGGCCGGAATTGTTGAGAAAACTTTTGATTTTGCATCCTTTTTTTAGTCTTCTTGATTGATTAAGGTTTGCACCATCCGATTTGTACGTGTTTGGATTTGAAATCTTTGAACTGCCTGAGACCAACTAGCATGAGTTTATTTGAAACTAGAACTTGTTTAGGCGAGTGTGCTCCTGCGTACACTTAATGGACTTGACTGAATATATGGTATCTCTTTTCCGCATGACCAAGTAACTTGATTCGTATATGATCAGTATGTGGATTTGAATTCGGTGACTATTTGAGAATGTGAATTGCTGGGCATAGGCTAATCGAGTGAGTTCTTATTCGTACCTGTGCTCCTTGAACTTGAAGTAATTGATCCTGATTTTAAACTTGTTTCTTTTTTGTTTGACTGTAGACCGGCAACTGCTCCTCTGTAGCGGTTGAACTGAACCTCTCCGGTGGGGCATTGCCTGTTGTATTATAAAGAACCGCCATTCTTCTGGCGAGACATGCCTGTTGCGCTGTCCAGTACCACCAGGGATGAACTTCTTGAACTGAACCTCTCAGGTGAGGCATTGCCTGTTGTGTTATCAAGCACCGCCATTCTTCTGGCGAGGTATGCCTGTTGTGTTGTCCAGCACCGTCAGGGATGAACTTCTTGAATTGAGCCTCTCTGGTGGGGCATTGCCTGTTGTGTTATAAAGCACCGCCATTCTTCTGGCGGGGCATGCTTGTTGTGTTGTCCAGCACCGCCAGGTATGATTTTCCTGAACTAAGGTTCTCTGGTGAAGTATAGCTGTCGTGCTAGCTTGTTGTGTTGTCCAGCTCCGCCAGGGGGTAAAAAATTCTGACTTGAGACTTAGCCATGTCCTGAATTTTTCGAATATCTGGGAATTTATTTCCAACTCAGGGCTAGTTGGTTGAATCGAGCCCTTTTGCATGTTCTTTTTGGTTACTTGTTTAGCTATCAATTGGCTCATTACTAAGTGATATATGGGATTGGAATGATTCGTAGTACTTGACTGACTTTCGAGAACTATCCTGATCTGATTAGTACAAGTTGAAATGTCGAGAACGACATTCTTTCAAGGGAGGAGTTTGTGACACCCGAAAGAAGAA